AGGCGCCCAGATCAAACTATAGTACATTTTTTTCATCCCAGACTCCAAATCACACAATCATACCATCTGTATTTTCCTTTATTCTGTCTTTTGCCCCCATTCTCTTAATTGGTTATGAGCCCAGGGTGAGATAGAGATCTGTGAGATGAGGCCATCCTTTTGTGTCCTTGAGGATTGAGTCCCAGATACTAGCATGTGCCAGCCACACAGAAGACATAGACACTTGTGGTGCCTGAGAAGGAGCACCAGGACCAGAATCATGCACCTCATCATGCAGGTTCCTGTCCTGCTTCTTCGTGTGGCTTTGGGGATATGATTTTCTTGCTCTGGTCCTTGTTTTCTTCCTCTTAAAGGAAAAGTAGAGTGGCCCACTGGTTTCCAAGCTTGTTTTTTTGCCTTGATCCTTTCTTTTCTTTTTTTTAAGGTTGAACATCAAATTTTATTTTTATTTTTATTTTTTTTTAGAAATAGAATCTCACTTTGTCGCCCTTGTTAGAGTGCTGTGGTTAGGTTGCTGTGAAGCAACCTCCAACTCCTGGGTTTAGGTGATTCTCTTGCCTCAGCCTCCTGAGTAGCTGGGACCACAGGTGCCCACCAAGCCTTGCTCCTTTCTTCAGTTACAGTCTTACCTGGAAGTCCATTACACAGGAGACAACTTCTCTGGTTGAAGCAGATAATTTTTCATTAATCCTTAGAATCTGTGTGAGCATCCTGGGACTGCTATGGCAAATGACCACACTCCACATGGCTTAAAATCACAGGAATTGGCCAGGCACTGTTGTTCACATCTGTAATACTTGCACTCTGAGAGGCTGAGATGGATGGACTGCTTAAGCTCACGTTCGAGTTTGAGACTAGCCTGAGCAAGAGCAAGACTCCATCGGTACTAAAAATGAAAAACTGAGGCAAGAGGATTGCTTCAGCCCAAGAGTTCAAGGTTGCTGTGAGCTGTGATGCTAGTGCAGTCTACACAGGGCAAGAAAATGAAACTCTGTCTTAAAAAAAGGAATAAGGAAAAAAAAACACAGGAATTGATTCTCTCACTTTTCTGGAAGCTAGAAGTCCAAAATCAAGGTGTCAGCAAGGTTACCCTCTCTCCAAAGGCTTTAGGGATGGATCCTTCCTCACTCCTTCCAGCTTCTACAGGCATTGCATGCCTTGGCTTGTGGTCGCATCACTCCAGTCTCTGCCTGCATCTTCAGATGGCCATATCTTCCCTCTATCTCTTATAAGGACACTGGATTTTGGATTTAGGGCATGCTCACTTGAAATCTCATCTCAAGATCTTTAACTTTATTATATCTGCAAAGACCCTTTTTCCAAATAAGGTCACATTCCCAGGGTCTGGGTTAAAAACATCATGTATCTTTTTGGAGACCACCTTGTGGCCCCCTCCACAACCTTATGCAATAGGTAGTGTTGTTATTTGCATTTAACTGATGAGGTCAAAACAGTTCAATCACTTGCCCTAGGGCCTAGGGTAAACACAGCTAGTATGTTGCAGAGACTGCTTAGAACCTAAGCAGCCTGCAAGCTTAACTGATGGGCTGTGGCACCTCTATAGTAGACTCTCAGAGGTCTCTAAGGAAGACAGCTGAGCTTGTGGGCAGGCTGCATAAGAGTCTGGCTGGCAGAAGGCTTCCAGTTCCATATTAGCAGGTGTGTGAGCATCATTCCAGAAGATATGTCCTCCTCAGGGGTGTGTAGGGTCTGGCTCTCTGCCATAGAGGCAGTGACTAGGGTCACACCTTCTTCTTAGCCCCATGCTCTCTCCTTTCCTGCCAACTAGGGAAAGCTGCTTGCTGATCTGGCTAAGCACCTGGGCCTCCACTATGTGGTCTACAGTGGCCTGGAGAACATCAAGAAGCTGACAGCAGGGAGATTAACAGCAGGCCACTTTGATGGCAAAGGGGAGGTGGAGCAGTATTTCCGGGACATCGGTGTCCCTATGACCAGTGTGAGGTTGCCCTGCTATTTTGAGAACCTCCTCTCCTACTTCCTGCCCCAGAAAGCCTCTGATGGAAAGAGCTACTTGCTGAGTGAGTACCCTTCCTTCTGTACTGTGAGGCAGAGTTCTCACCTTGTGACACTGTAGGTATTGCAGAAAGTGGGTTTGTCACATGGTTTTGGGCCTTAGCCTTGGCTCCATCACTTTAGGCCTGGGACTGAGCAAGTCCTGGACCTCAGCTTCCTATTCTATGAAATGGGCATACTATGTTTGCAGGAGCAATGGGATTTCCCAAGATAGGGCAAAGTGATGCTCTATCCATTGGAATGCTTCACAGAGAGGAACACAGTTACTACTTTTTTGAAAATAAGGAGGAGGAAGATTTGGGTGATGTAGTTCAGTTGTACATTTCACAAAGTAGAAATTTTCTTCTTCATGCCCACTGGAAAATCTATAAAAAGGTTGCACCAGCCTGGCTTAGAGGAACCTTGGATCCTGCAGTGGATCCAAGGAAGTCAGAGTGGGCAGAGCCGGCGCCTTCTCGCAGTTTGTGTGCACAGTGGCTCACCCTGGCACGAGGGCTCATCAGTGCTGCCAGAGAGCCCAGGAAGTCCTGCCCTCACAGCCAGCGGAGTCTAGTGCTGGTAGTAGCCTAATGGCACCCCCCCTTTACAGTTTGCAAAGCTGCAGTAGGGGATACTACTCTCCAGTCACTGGGTTGGAGCTTCATTCCCTTGAGCTCCCTGGGTGATCTGAAGCTGCCCCTTTCTCTAGTTGGGGATAGCAGAACCCAAGTGCTCCTAGTACCATACCTAGGACCATATCTGCCCCCTCACTTAGAAAACCACAACTTGGAAAGTAGCAAGTCATTCATTCATTCCGTATTTATTGAGCATGTATTGTGGATGTGCTACTCTGGGCCACTACAGCTTTTAGGAATTCAGGATATGATGGAATACCTACCACAGGGCTGGTGCCTCCCAATCAGCAGGACTGTGCACAACCACCCCTTCCTTTCCTTTGTCGTCTCAATCCTGAGCAGGGAGGCAGTTGCAGATTCCTATCCCCATTCTGGGAATGTAATAGTCCAGGCTCAGGGGCCTAATCAGCTTGCCCAGGGAGACAACGGCCAGGTTTCTTCCTGACTCCACTGCTGCCTCTGCACCACCACAGATACCAAGGCTGACTGCTGGAAAACCAGCTTTGACCCTTTAGAGGTGGGCTCTGTCTCTTGGAGGTCTGCCCTCAGGACACATGCTACCTCATCTTTGCCCCACAGGCTTGCCCATGGGTGATGTTCCCATGGACGGTATGGCTGTGGCCGACTTGGGTCCTGTGGTGCTCAGCCTACTGAAGATGCCAGAAGAATACATTGGTCAGAACATCGGGCTTAGCACATGCAGGCACACTGCAGAGGAATACGCTGCCCTACTCACCAAGCATATCGGCAAGACTGTGCGAGATGCTAAGGTGGGTTCCTCCCTCCCTGGGGACTCAGGAAGGCTCGGTCAAGTCCTTCTAACTCCCAGTGGGGCTCATGGAGTTATAGGGAAAGAGTGTCTAAGGCTGCCCCATCCCACTGAGCAAGGAAATTCTAAACTCGTTTGTTTTTTGTTTGAGACAGAGTCTTACTGTGTTGCCCTTGGTAGAGTGCTGTGGTGTCACAGCTCACAGCAACCTCCTCCAACTCTTGGGCTTAAGCGATTCTCTTGCCTCAGCCTCCCAAGTAGCTGGGACTACAGGCGGCCGCCCCAATGCCCGGTTATTTTTTATTGCAGTTATCGTTGTTTAGCTGGCCAGGGCTGGGTTCGAATCCGCCACCCTCGGTATATGCAGCTGGTGCTGAGCCTCTAAATTCATTTGTTTTTTTTTTGAAAACAGAGGTCTCCCAATTTATTGGTATCAGAATTCTTTGGAAAGCTTGTTAGAAAGTTAAATCCCGGCTCGGCACCTGTGGCTCAAGTGGCTAACGTGCCAGCCACATACACCTAAGGTGGTGGGTTCGAATCCAGCCTGGACCCACCAAACAACAATGATGGCTGCAACCAAAAAATAGCCAATTGTTGTGGGTGCCTGCCTGTGGTCCCAGCTACTTGGGAGGCTGAGGCAAAAGACTCGCTTGAGCCCAAGAGTTGGAGGTTGCTGTGGGCTGTGAAGCCACAACACTCTACCCAGGGGGATAGCTTGAGGTTCTGTCTCAAAAAAAAAAAAAAGAAAGAAAGAAAAGAAAGTTAAATCCCCAGAACCCCCTACCTCCAAAGTCCTGAGCAGCTAGAGGTACAGTCACGTTGAAGGGGCAGAGGTGGAGCCCTGATAGGTTCTACCTGAGACAAAATGAGGGAAAAGAAAAAGAAAAGGTCGAGGAAAATATGGATAGAAGAGCAGAAGCACGGACAAAAAGAACCAAAAATAACAAACATGGCTCATGGAGCTGGGTGAAACAGCAGTGGCCAGGCATATGATCTTAGTGAGAAAGTACCATGTTGACATGAAGTTTCACAAACCCTGGCTCTCCCTGGAGTCTCTGCTTCCAGGTCACCAAGTTAGCCAAACAAAATTCTTAGAATGTTCCAAAATTTTAGGTTAGGCAAATGGGCCAACGTATAAGAAAGAATGGCTGCAAGGGAGGCCAGGTATAGTCCTGTAATGCTCTTATGAATGCAGTACTGGATCTCAAGATCTCAAACTGGTTCTGGCACCGCCCAGACTAAGGGTGAGCTCCCTGGGTAGAATTCTTGCAAGAGCAACAAATTCCAGCCTGGAGAGAATGCCTTCAATCGGGTCAATGTTGGCTCTGGCGCTTTGCAATCTCTTCTTGGATATGCAACTTGAGGGCCTCTTGCATGGGTGGATCCAGAGGCTTGTGTGCAGACACCTCCTCACTCACCCTGCCTGGGTCATTGTCCTGATACACAATAACTGATATGACCTCTCCACTGTCCGCCTCATATTCTAAGCAGAAGAGCTGATGGCTAGAAGGCTCCAGCTCAGAGCGACCACTACTGCTGCTTTCACCAGACTCATAGTTTGGGTTGCCTGGGTGGGTAGAGGCATCTCGATGTCGTGGCAGGTACACTTGCAGGTCTGGCTTCCGGGGCCGCATTGGAGCGGGCGTGTGTCATCTCCTCACCTCCTTGGCCACCTGCTTCACCTTGTCCTAGTTGTCCTGGGCGATCTGGTTCCGTCGAGTATGGTGCACGAAGCTGTGGTTCACGTTCAGTCGCCCGCCAGGCTTGCAGCAGAGCCCAGAACCGGGACCAAACCCCGCCTCCATTCGAGGTCCTCAGCCACAGCCCACAACGGCCCCAACTGCCGTCCACCCATAGGCAGAGGTCCTCTAAATTCATTTGTTAATCGTTAACATTTATGTCATGCTGTTTGGGGAGCTAAGTGTAGCCACAAATAAGGAGAGAGAAGAGTTTCCAGGAAGGGACATAAGAGCCAAGGCTGGAAAGGGCAGGAATGCAGGACCTGCTGGGTGCTCTGTAGGGTGTCCTATGAAGGGGCAGGGAGGGAGGCTGGAAAGGTGGGTGTGGCCCCTGCCCCATGTGACCTGGCTATGTGGGCAAGGGGTGCTGACCTTCAGGTGTTGAGTCCCTACCCTGGGTGCCTCATTTCTAATGCTACTTGTTCCTATCAAGGTCTGCTAATTAAAATCTGGGAGACACTGAGTCATTAAGACACCCACAGAGCCCTGCCTACACCCAAGCAGAGCAGTTGGGGGCAGGCTGCAGGGAGTGGTGTTGTGCTTACACTCCTGGCTCAGAACCAGCCCCAGCCTTCTAGACCTACCAGCACATGGCCTTAGGCACAGCCCCTGACCCCTCACTGCTTCAGTTTCCTCATTTGTAAAAGGATATGTTGTTGGTATTCCTCTCCTCAGGTGGTTGTGAGGATTAAATAAGCAGTGTAAAAACTTTCTCAGTACAATGGATGGCACCTCAAAAACATGCACTAAAAGACCATATGTTAAACTTTAAAAAAAAAAAAAAAAGGCCTGAAGCATATGGTTAGGCATAGTGGCTCACACCTGTAATCTCAGCACTCTGGGAGGGCAAGGCCTGTGGATTGCTTGAGCTCAAGAGTTCAAGACCAGGCTAAGAGCAAGACCCCAACTCTAAAAATAGCCACTCTTTGTGTGGGGGCCTTCAGTCCCAGCTACTCAGGAGGCTGATACAAGATAATTGCTTGAGCCCAACAGTTTAGAGGTGGCTGTGAGCTATGATGCTACTGTACTCAACCCCAAGGTAAATGAGTAAGACTGTCTCCAAAAAGAAAAAAAAAATGCCTGAGCCAGGTCATGGAAAATTCAGGGTTCTGAGAAGATTCAGTTCAGTAAGAAAAGCTTTGTTTTTGTTTGAGACAGAGTCTCAAGCTATCGCCCTGGGTAGAGTGCCATGGCATCACAGCTCACAAAGTCCTCAAACTCTTAGGCGTAAGCAGTTCTTTTGCTTCAGCCTCCCAGTAGCTGGGACTACAGGCGCCTACCACACGCCTGGCTGTTTTTTGGTTGCAGTTGTCATTGTTGTTTAGCAGGCCCAGGCCAGGCTCAAACCTGCTACCCTTGGTATATGTGGCCGGATCCCTGCCAACTGAGCTACGGGTGCTGCCCAGAAAAGTTTTGGTGTTTTGAGAAAAGTGATGCGAGCAGATCTTTGATGTGGAAGGGACTGAGACAGAGACCTTTTTATCTCATGATCTTGAAAGAACAATTTTTTTTTCTTTTTTTTGGCTGGGGCTAGGACTGAAACTGCCACCTCCAATATATGGGGTTGGCATTCTACTCCTTTGAGCCACAGGTGCTACCTTGAAAGAACAATTTTTTTTTTTGGAGACAGAGCTTCAAGCTGTCACCCTGGGTAGAGTGCCATGACATCACAGCTCACAGCAACCTCCAACTCCTGGGCTCAGGTGATCCTCCACCTCCCACCTCCCACTACCGGCACCCGCCACAGCACCCAGCTATTTTTTGATTGCAGCCATCATTGTTTTGGCAGGTCAGGCCTGGATTTAAACCTGCCAGCTCAGGTGTATGTGGCTGGTGCCTTAGCCACTTGAGCCACAGGCGCCAAGCAGAAAGAGCAATCTTTAAACTGACCTTGAATGTCAGGTAATTCATGAGAATAGTGGTGTCCAAACTTCAGCTTTTAGTTGAAAGTTTTCAAATGACCTCGTACTGAGAACCTCGTGTTCTTTTTTGTTTTTGTTTTTTTTTGAGACGGAGCCTCAAGCTATCCCCCTGGGTAGAGTGCCATGGCATCACAGCTCACAGCAACCTCCAACTCCTGGGCTCAAGCGAGTCTCCTGCCTCAGCCTCCCAAGTAGCTGGGACCACAGGCACCTGCCACAATGCCTGGCCATTTTTTGGTTGCAGCCATCATTGTTGTTTGGCGGGCCTGGGCTGGGGATTCGAACCCGCCACCTTAGGTGTATGTGGCTGGCGCCTTAGCCGCTTGAGCCACAGGCGCAGAGCCGAGAACCTCATGTTCACAGTTGCCTTAGGTGTAACAGATTGGGAGACCCTGACCCATCTGGCCTCCCCCAGCCACCACTCCGGGGCGCTGGCGGGTTTAAGACATGATAGCCTTCCTTCTGCTTCCAGACAACTCCTGAGGACTACGAGAAGCTTGGCTTCCCAGGGGCCCAGGACTTGGCCAATATGTTCCGTTTCTATGCCTTGAGACCTGACCGCAACATTGACCTGACCTTTAAACTCAACCCCAAGGCCCGGACACTGGACCAGTGGCTAGAGCAGCACAAAGGGGACTTCGCCCAGCTGTGACCTGCCCACCTCACAACCCTGAACCATAGGATGGGAGGCAAGGTCATCCTTTCTCATGTTACCAAAAAAATTTTTTTTTAAATAAAGCTATTGTTCTCACAGATGGTTTCCAAAAGAAAAGGGCTCTATTTCTGGGACTTGGGCCAGTGGCATCTGGGGCACCAACAGCATAATAGTTCCCACAGTACACACTCAGTGGCAAAGATGGGGGCCCAGCCTCCCTCCCCCAAAATAAGAGAGGCTGCAGGGCTGAAAAGATCATGGAGATGAGGGACTTAAATGTGCGGTTACTCAAATAGGAATGAAACGAAGAAGTCTGAACTCCGTTCCCACTACACCCAGAATCTAAGACAGAGGCACCCTGGCACCAGTGATGGCACCTCTGACATTCCAGCACACACCCTTTGTCTCCAGAGAACTTGTGAGGCCACCAGCTATCTGTTCAGTTGGGGACAGACACTGGAGGGGACATGGAAGACATGGGCCTACCTCCCTCTTCCTCCTTACCTTCCTGGGCAGGACTGGTGCCTGGTTCTCACAGAGGAAGATCTGAGCAAACATCTTAGATTTGGAATGGATGGACTCAGATTCAAAATCCAGCCTGCTACCAATAATCTTGTGCTCTTGGGTAAATCACTCAATATCACTGTGATTCAATTTTCTCCATTATAAAAGGGAACATTAATAGATTATTGGCTTTGCAAAGTGTGAGGATTGAATTAGCTAATGCAGGTGCCATCTCTTAATACAATAACCCAACAGTGTTGTTTACCATTGCTACCTTCATGCACCTGTTTCCAGCATCATCGCCTTGCTCTCTAGTATGTGCCTGCCTAGTTTTCAAAGAGAAAGAAAGCATGACAATGGAGTTCTCAATGCCAGGTTGCCATATCATCTAGCATTAACAAAAAACCTTCTATGTCAGAGAGAAAGTTGATTGTACCCAGCCAACAAATGTCTTGTTGATCAAAATACTAGAGCTCTTTTCCAGTGTCTGCTCTGCCTGACCCAGTGAATGCCACCCTGATGACAGGGTGATCAAGCCCTGTGCCCGGGGCTCCCTGCAGCTGTGTCAGGCATTAGAGCTCCACTGAGCCCAGACTAAACTACAATAAATAAAAATTTAAATGTGAAAAGATGAAATAGGAAAAAAATTAAAATGTGAAAAGACTGAAATAGAGAGGAAAAAAAATCTAGTAAGGCAGATAGTGACTATAGAGAAATCTAATAAGGCAGACAATGACCGTAGAGACCTAGTGAGGCTGCAATGCTCCTTTCTCACTGCACATGCTCAAAGAAAAAGACACACCCAAATTCTAGAACATCTGACCACTGTCACATGGCTGTTCTGGGAACTGAGCAATGCGAATCAACATCTGTCAGTATCCCAGACCCTTCAGTGTGTGGGGGCCAGCTTATCCTCTAGAAAACCCTGCTAAGAGTTGTCTGAAGGTCGCCTTAACTCTTTCAAAGAAGAAATGACCACAATTTAGGTTTTAAATATCTTTTTGCAGTAGATAATCTTATTTACATTAATATAGAATCATTTTACATTCTTAAATCAGACACTAATAGAAGCTTTATTTTAGTGAATTATAAAGGAAAATAAAGAGGAAACTTGAGAAATGTTCTTCATTAACCTGTCTTAAAATAGCTCAAGGATCCTGAAACACAAAGAAACTGCAACATGCTACCATCAGAGGCTGGGGAATTGATGTCTTACTTTGACTGAATGGTAGGGAACCTTCAGCTGCTTAGACTGTGCGTTCCTTTTCTGAACAAACACTTACACAGGAAAAGACAATGATTAGCACTGAATAATCTAAACACACTTTGGAAAATAGATGTCAGCAGTGTAGTAGCAGAACCAAGCCCCCAGCTGGCAGCAGTTACAGGGCTCTAAGTACCCAAGGCAGGTGGAATCTGCCCAGCACAGTGACGTGCAGCTGTGGCTTAGAAGGGAGGACAGAAGCCCCAATATACCTGGGACAAGTGCCATCCTGGGTGGGGCAAAAGGGAGGACTACTGTCCTGACAAGGATCAGCCACCAACCCTGTGGTCAGGAGCAGAACCTCCAGGGACCCTCACGGCCCTCATATGTGTCCCCAGGCCCCTGAACACCCACTGTGCAAATGCCTGGTACCTTTGGGAATTAAAAACAAACTCCAAGCAGAGCAACTGATGCCTCAGCAGAACCTGTTGGTAGAGGATGGGGCAGGAGGGTCTGGGTCCCTGGGCTCTGGGTGAAGACAGCCTATCAGGGAAGGCTCATCCTGAAGCCTCCAGGAGCTTTGCTGTGAGGGAAAGTAATTGCTTCACAACTTGGTGCAGCTTAAGGCTTCATTTTTAAACTGTAAGCATGGCCTTTAATTCTTTAACTAAGATCTTCATCACATTCGATTCCAAATTAGACTTTTAGCGCTTTAACAGTCCAACTGTCTTAGTCTGCCTGAGCCTGAAGAGGCTGAGTCACATACCCGAGGACAGGAAACTTTTACCAGCCCCAGGGTACTACACCTTACTGACCAGGGGCCATCCACTGTGACCTTTCCAGGGAGAGAGATGTGTTGTCAGCCAATTTTGCTGTTAACCAGGTAATCCAGAGGCTCTGTAAGTGGGAGCCAGTGCTGCTGTTCTGGAATCTTCCTGTCTCCCAGGTCCCCTGGCCATGAGGAGGGGCTGCTGCTTCTGGGCCTAGTTTCCAGTGGATCGTTTTCCTGAGAAAGAAAACAAATGGCCATATTACACTCAACATTCCAACAGTATCCATCCCAGTGATAGGGCTTGTGTCAATCCATGGAAGGTGGCTGTGCCAAGACAGAAGAGCCCTCGCCCCCAGGAATAAGTGGAAAGAAAAGTCCTGAGGCCTCACAGTGGGCAAGCACAACTCCCAGCAACGACCCCAGGCTTCCCTGCCCTGTGCTGCCCAGGCAAGACAGGCAGCAACAAAGCAGGTGGGAATTGAGGAGATCTGAGTTCTAGACCTGGCTCTGCTACAATTCACCTCTGTGACCGTGGGCAAGCTCGTTCCACCACTGTGGAACTCACAGAGCTCCTCAGAGCTGGTGTGAGGAGGGCTGTGTAGCAGCCTCCCAAAACAACCTCTCCAGAAAGAGAACACAGCACAAGGCTAGTCACTGCAGCTGTTCAGCCCTGTCTACTGGCTGGCTGCCATGATGCTCTCTCTCCACAGACAGAGGTTTGGCTCTGTGTGGAGCCAGACTTGCTGCACCTGCCACTGGCAGCATCCATCCAGCTCCTGGGGATCGGGGACATTTTATTGGTAAAAGTGAGAGAAAACAAGGGATTGGTTCAGAGAAGGGCTTTCCTACCTCGGCTGGGAGATCAGGAGGTAAACATTTTCTTAAGTTTGGAAAGGAATCCCTCCTTGTCCTCCCCAGCCTCACGCCTAGCCTTGCTTCCTGCGGAGCTATCCGTGGTGCTGCCACCTGGGCACAAAGAGCAGAAAGAACTGGGGTCAAGGGCACACACCACCATGTGTCACACCCCAGGTCCCCGCCTACCCCCAAGGGCCACCCAAGGACCTGGCACTCCAGGAGCAACCAAGCACCATTCCAGGAAGAGGGGCCACTTCCAACTCAGCTACGGCCACCTCCCTGATCAGAGAACTGAGGTAAGCATGACACCCAGCCCCCTAGGGTGTTCCAGCTATGACCCACTACAGGGAAACAAGAAACAGAGAAGGACAATGGCCAGCTGTCTCTATCTGAGTAACAGTAACAAAAGCAGGCCAGGTGTGATGGCCCATGCCTGTAATCCTAGCACTATGGGAGGCCAAGGTGGGTGGGTCACTTGAGCTCAGGAAGCTTTAGACCAGCCTAAGCAAGAACAATACTCCATCTCTACTAAAAATAAAAAAACTAACCAGGCACTGTGGCAGGTACCTGTAGTCCCAGCTACTCCAGAGGCTGAGGCAAGAGATTGCTTGAGCCCAAGAGTTTGAGGTTGCTGTGAGCTATGATGCCACAGTACTCTATCTTAGGCAACAGAGTGAGACTCTATTTTTTTTTTTTCTGAGACAGTTCTACCCTGTGTCCTGAGCAGAGTGCAGTGGTGTCATAGCTCACTGCAACCTCAGACTCTGGCTGTGGGTATCCTGCTGCCTCAGCCTCCAAGGCTGCTAGGATTACAGGTGCTCGCCACAGCTCCTGGCTGGGTTTTTCCATTTTTTTTCATGAGTCGGGGTCTCACTCTTGCTCAGGTGAGTCTTCAACTCCTGAACTTGAGCAATCCTCCCTCCTCAGCCTCCCACAGTGCTAGGACTACAGGCATGAGCCATCACACCCGAATATGAAGCTCTATCTTAAAAAACAAAACAAGAAGAAAAAACAGGCTTGGCACCTGCAGGACAGTGGTTAGCGGGTTTGAACCCGGCCTGGTCTAGCTAAACAGCAATGACAAGTGCAACAAAAAATAGCCGGGCATTGTGGTGGGTGCCTATAATCCCAGCTACTCAAGAGGCTGAGGCAAGAGAATTGCTTAAGTCCAAGAGTTGGAGGTTGCTATTAGCTGTGACGCCACAGCACTCTATGGTGACATAGTGAGACTCTGTCTCAACAACAAAAAAAATCTATATCTATATCTGTATCTATTTATCTATCTATATCCTGGCTGAATGAAAAAAGTCACTGTCACGAGAAAGGATCATGGCTCAGCACCTGTAGCTCAGTGGCTAAGGTGCCAGCCACATACACAGGAGCTGGTAGGTTTGAATCCAGCCCAGGCCTGACAAACAACAATGACAACTACAACAAAAAAATAGCCAGGCATTGTGGTGGGCACCTGTAATCCCAGCTACTTGGGAGGCTGAGGCAAGAGAATCGCTTAAGCCCAGGAGTTTGAGGTTGCTGTGAGCTATGATGCCACAGGACTCTACCCAGGGTGACAGCTTGCGACTCTGTCTCAAAAAAAAAAAAAAAGAGAGAGAGAAGGGACCATGAAAATAAAAAAGGTTGTAAGGCTGGTCTAAAACTCTTAGCCATAAGTCTCTGCTTCAGCCTCTAAGGTGCTGAAATTACATGAGCCACCATTCCTGGCCTGACTACAATTTTTTATTTTTTTTTAGACAGAGTCTCAAGCTGTCATGCTGGGTAAAGTTCCATAAAGTCATAGCTCATGGCAACCTCCAACTCTTGGGCTTAAGTGATCTTTTTGCCTCAATTTTTCTATTTTTAGTTGAAATGGGGTCTCACTTTTTGTTTAGGCCATCTCAAACTTGTGAGCTCAAGCAATCCACCTGCCTTGGCCTCCCAGAGTGCTAGGATTACAGGCATGAGCCATCATGCCTGGCTCTTTTTTTTTTT